AAGAAGAAGAAGAAGAAGAAGAAGACAAAGACCGGACAAAACAAACAAATGTTCAGGAAAAAGAACCAAAGTGTATAAGCGACAAAACAGTTTGTACAAAGGGTGCGGATAAACCTATCCAACGAATAAATCATTATCCAGTGGATACGTCGATGCTGTTGTCCAATAAATTTATCCACTGGATAGAATGTATCTGTGCGTCGTATAGCACTATCCACCCTTCGTACAACTCGGCCCAGCACGGCAATATACCTTGATCAGAATGATATTGTCTTGTGGTTCAGTCAAAAGACCATTTCTGCCAGCACTCTTCATCAACCAACAATCTCCTGACTTGGCGTTAAAACAAATCACCTGACATTGTTTGTTGGTCAGACATTTGTGAGCACAACCTACAGCACTTCTAGCTTTGTGTCTTGCTAGAACTTGGTCTTCCGAATCAAGACTAGTACTGGAGGTATTTACAACTGCAGCAAAGGCAAATGATCTCGAGAGGTCAGTTAGTTCCGTAGCATCTCGTGCCGAAACGACAAAAAATATACGAGCGAAAAGAGCGAAAAATATCTTGAATTTCTCCTKCGCCATTGCATTGAAAAAGAATTCGTGTGTGTTTTTGCACTGCTTTAAAATATATGTTGATAATTAGGCTTGTCGCTTTTATTAGCCAAAACTAATGAATACATGATATGAACCATATCGTCTTGCCTTTTTAAATTTCGCTTATCACCCTATCGCCATTTATCGTATACATATTAGATTAACGTTCACCCACTTTATCATCTGATTACTGTATATATGTCACGAAGCGACAAGTAGCCGGCATCAACTGTCGATCAATCCTCTAAAAACTGCAGATCTTAATCTACACAAAGCAAACTTTGATTCAAGCTGATTCAACTGTGTTGAGCAGTATGTTTGCTGGGTGTAAATATTTTTTCACGTAACACAAGGGAACTGCGAAGCGATAYGTGACGTCACGAAAATGTGACTGATGATCTTTTTTGACAAACCAATCAGAAAGCATCGAAGTTGACCACAGTTCCTTAGACCCTGGCTAAACGAGGAAACATATTTCCAGAAATAGGAACAAGTTTTCTTAAGTGTTTCCAAAGGTGGCAGAACTGTCAGGGAACATCGGGAAACCTGTTTACTCAATATCGGTTAGCGCATGTACACTTTCAAGTTAGAGCTAGCGTTACTAAGTAACGAACTTTTAGAATGTTGACTTTCGTGGCTAAACGAGGAAACATTGGGAAACATTGTTTCCATGCGTCTTGGATCGAAGCATGAAATGTTTCTGCCGCACAGCAGAAACATTTTTGCGTCTTGGAAGCAAAATTTGTTGCACGCAGCAATGTTTTGCTTGTGGCTAAACTTGGAATCATCGGGGAACATGCGCGCGGTAAACATGTTTCTGGAAACTTGTTTCCTCGTTTAGCCAGGGCCTTAGAAACGTTGACTAAACAGACCACTAACGATCCGGCGATGAAGTTTGAAAAATTGTTCAAGTGATTGATTTCCTTAGTATTATTCATCTTTGGCACATTAGATTACTGACGTTTAATTCAATGTAATCATAAGCATAACCTTTATATTAATGCGTCCACACTAATGCGTTTTCTGAAACGCTCCGTTTTCGTTTCACCCGAAACGGCACCGGAAGCTTCGCTTCCAAACTAGCAATTTCATAGCGTTATTTTCAAAAAACGTAGATACGATCAGAAATGTACTGATATTTTCTTTGCTTGGATTCCAGAAGATTTAGTTAATTTCATGATACGAGGTTCTAAACCTATAAAATAATCTTTTACGCATTAAGGATCAAGATTCTTCACGGAAACTAGTTTCGTATTTATCGACCTTTTCAATCCTTAAAGAAGCAATATCAACTTCTACGCATGTGGAAAGCAGACGTGACGGTGTGAATACAAACCCAGAGATTGCGATTTTTCTGGCCTTCTGCGAAGAACGAGGGTTCTGGCATAATCCATATTTTGGCGCATGCGCAATTTTTGGAAAGTGAGATATAAACGATCAAAATAAGCAAAGTAAAAATTAAATCGAAGCCAAAATCAAAGTAAAAATCATAGTCAAAATTAAAAATCAGGGAAAATATATTCTAATATTTTTTATATTTAATATTTTAATAATTTATTCAAATTTTTGAACGCGTGCGCTGTTATACCGGAAGTTTTCCAAAAAATCCTGGTCTCAAAATGGATTATGCCAGAGCCCTCGTTCTTCACCGCAGGCCAGAAAAAACGCAGGCTCTGGGTACGAGATTGAATCCATATTTTGAGACCAGGATTTCTTGGACTTCAGGTATAACAGCGCATGCGTCAAAGACTTGTCAAAACTTTGAAAAAATATTTTCCCGATTGCTAATTTTTGCTATAATTTTACTTTGATGATTCTGATCGGTTACATCTCACTTCCCGAAAATTGCGCACGCGCCAAAATATGGATCATACCAGAGCCCTCTTCTTCGCAGGCCACAAGAAACGCAGGCTCTGGCTCTGGAGAGCGTCTTCAAATGAATGCGTTTTCTTTTTTCAACAGCAGTAATAGTGTTTACTGCGATACCAGTGATAGACCGCTTGAAAAATATTTTATGTAMTATTAGAGAGTAGGTAAAGTGAATGAATGCTAATTTAAACCATTGTTCCCTAGGGGGAGGAGGATGGGGAAGCCTTCTCTTTCTCAATAACCGCAGACCGCCAAGCAACGTGGGCCAGGATAGGGCGAAATGTCTTTCCATTTCCGGTTTTAGTGTAAATCCCTAGAATAGATATTTTGTTGCTTGATAAGAATGAGTCATAATTTTTATATCATTTATTTTTAGTTGAATATTTTTTCAATATTGTTAATTTTGTTAGTTTAGCACTGGATTTTATCTTTTTCTTATCTCATGTTTTACTTTTTTAATATGATTGTATCACCCACCGGTGATATTAAATATTGTTCGTATTCTTCTTAATCGTCTTATTATTTATGTAAAATTTAATAGCTTACAAAGTAAGAATCAATATCATATCTCAGGATTTTCCAAAGCGTTTATCATAATTTYCCCAAGCTTATCGTTTTCTCCAGAAATCGTGACCAACTCGTACTTGCCTTTGCATAATGGGTCTCTATCAAGGATCTCCTTAACCTTTCTGTAGAACGCAACAACTTGGTAGTCTCTCTCCTCCCTGCTCAGCCCAGCGTTGGGGTCGTTAGACATTTCGCTCAGGATTTTAAGGGGCGTAGCGTACTCCATCACACAAAAGTGTTCTTCACCAGACCTTTCGTCTTTAATCCGATATACTGTATGCTCATACGTTCTCTCTCTGATCCCTCCACGATCTTTCTTCAAAGGTTCAAGATTTCCAACGTCTTCCACCAGATTCCTTGGGTCTGAGATGGTGTCCTCGACTTGACAGTTTCTTGGAAATAAAATGAAGACTTTACGATATTCTTTCCGAATTATTTGCCTAAAACGAAAAGTAAGATTGATCTGTGAATTCAATTCTGGTAAAGCAATCTTTAGATAGCCAAAATAATAGCTCCAAGCCAGGCCATCGGCGATATTCTTGTTTCGTTCTTCACTGATTTGTGAGAATTCGACTTTTGAAGGCTCGCTCAGACCAACAACATGGACGAAAGCAGGCATGAACACCACATTGATAGAAAACCAAACATATAGGCCGTGTGATGTGAAAGAAGACCATTCTAGTCCACCCAAGAAAGCATGCACCACCATTAAGAAAGCTATGGTAGTTTGAGCTATAATCGGCTTTTTATTACTGAATTTGAAAACTGCTCGAAAAGCTTTTTTCCAGCTCCCGTCGTAGCGAGAATCAACATGGCGATAMTCCTCGGTGAACAGACAAAGCCTTCTGATAACTTCTCCTAGCACACGTACAAGGAATGAGGCGCCGAAAAAGAACTCATACAAATACCATGGACGGGGGTATTTGTATATTCTTTCGACGAAGAAGTTGATCAAGATGTACAGGAGAAGAACAATGATGCAAGCGTTGGTAGATCTTGATCCTCGCTGTTGATATATCGGACCAAAGCCATTGTTGATCATTCTTCGGTTTAGCATCGTTTAAAGTAAGTATACCCTGTTGAGAACTGAATAACGAAATAGCAAGGAGAACACTTAGGATCGCCGATACAATCGTATCAGAAACTTGGAGAGAAAAGCGTGCTAAGCAAAAGTGAAGGGGGAATCCCCTTACGTCACCCAACAAAACACAGGTAGACAACTCATATTTTACGAGTGTTTTAATTGGTTTTCTTGTTTTTCCTATAACATAACATAAGTTCTTAGAATGACTACAAAACAAATAGGTCTGTTATATTACTTTTTACTTTAATGATTATAATATGATTTTACGATGCAAATTTAGGCTCTATTTTTTGACAATTGACACAAGCCAAAGCCAGATGTACATGTCTAGAACAGTCGATGGCCTAAAAATTCAAAGCATCCTTTAGACTCAATAGCCAATGTGTGACAACCACAGGTCTCTATAACGAAGCAGCTACGCTTTTTCGGCTCCTCTAAAAATTCAACTGACAGTCAATGCTTATTTAGATTATTTAGTTTTTACTATTGCTAGCAGAGTTTCTAAGACCTTATTTTTCTTGTTAGATATATATCAGCTCGTCATAACATTTCTGGAGAAGTCGTATAGCATCATCACGTTTTCGCTGAGGAGAGCCAGGCCATCGGAAAGAATATCATATGACTGGTATTGCAGGATTTTTGAAAGCGTTTATAATAATTTCCCCAAGCTTATCGTTTTCTCCAGAAATCGTGACCAACTCGTACTTGCCTTTGCATAATGGGTCTCTATCAAGGATCTCCTTAACCTTTCTGTAGA